GCTCTAGATCGCACAGTGAATCAGTGGAAGAGTTCAGATGGAGCTCAGGCCTTCCAAATTCTCAGTCCAAGCTTTACTCACTACACACTGCCCCTTCACAGTGAGGAAAGCAAAACAAAAAAAGCAACACACCATTACAACAACTGAGGCAGGAAGACCTGAGTTCAAATCCAGCCTCGGGCACTTACTAGCTGTGTGATACTGGGCAAATCACTTAACCTCTGTTCCCCTCAGTCTACTCAACTGTAAAATAGGGATAACAATAGCACCCACTTCCCAGGATTGCTGAGATAAACTCACTTAATAAATGTTTGCTTTCTTCCTTCCTCAATTTTGTAGAGGGACACAACTTTAAATAACAGAATTCAGATGAAAAACAAGCTATGACATTGGTACTAACTTATAAAGTATATACCCTTCCTTTCTGTAAAAAAGTAAGAAAAGCTATTAAAAAAATGTAGGTTTTACTATCACCTAATTCTTGTTTACTTAATTCTTGTAGGTGTTTGGGGCAATTTAACTGGGACTATACTGGGGGGGAGAGGAGGTCTTCATGATGTGTGAAAATCAACCAATCAGGTGCTTACTAAGTGCCCAGTACTGTGCCAAGCATAGAGGATAAAAAGAAAGGCAAGAACAGCCGGTAGAAACAATAAAATTTATCAACAACAAATTTTTTTAAATACCTTCTCACACTCTAAAGCATCATCCTTAATTATCCTGGGATTTTGTAAATCATTCCATTTTCAGCTTGTCCTCAAAACTGCAGGAAAAGACTTAAATGTAACAGTTTCAACATGATGGCAGAGTTCTTTGCTTTGAAAGTGATATTCTCTCCATTCAATGCCAATTATCCCAGAAACTCCCCTGCTTCTACCACAACCAACTTTAGCCAAATGAAACATTAATGTAGGTAGCTTTCATTACCAGAGTCTGAAATGGACAATCAGTAGGGTCTAAAAATTCTGAACAACTCAAGACAGGTCCCTACCAATGGAATGTGTGGCCTAGGATAAATCACCTACCTGCATGCCCACTGCCCCAAATGCTCTCACTTTAAAACCTGTAAAACTGGATTAAAGTGATCATCGAGTTCAATACTGAAAGGGAAACGGGAGTCTAAAAGGTAGTCAGAAGGCTGCCAGTGGAAGGCAGCATCTTTGTCCCCACTGCTTTGCTTTCCTGGTAGCTTTCTGTTGTCCTTGTTTGGAGTCAGGTTGATTGCAGGGCTGAGAGTCTCAGCCCTTTTTTAGCACCAGTGGGTAAGTCATTTTCCTCCTGAGCAGTCAGTATCCATGAACCCTGGCTCTGGTGGTAAGGATGTGCACATCAATCATTACATGCATTTTGTACACCAGTGTATTCTTTTTTTTTCCTTAATAGTATTTTTTTCCAATTACATGTAAAGATAATTTTCAACATTCATTTTGGTAAAATTTTGAATTCCAAATTTTTCTCCCTGCGTCCCTTCCCTCCCTCCTCCCCAAGACAGCAAGCAATCTGATATAGGTTATACACGTATCATATATGTTAAACACATTTCCACATTAGTCATGTTGTGAAAGAAGAATCAGAACAAAAGGGAAAAACCACAAGAAAAGAAAAAAAAAGTAAAAGTAGTATGCTTCACATTTGCATTCAGACTCCATAGTTCTTTCTCTGGGCATGGACAGCATTTTCCACCACAGTCTTTTGAAATTATCTTGGATCACTGTATTGCTGAGAATCATTGCACAATGTTGCCACTGCTGTGTACAATGTATACCAACATATTCTAAAAGAATACCTTTATGGCTGAAGAGCAACACTGGCCTTCTTGTAGCTCTTGAACCCAATGTTCCATCTCCTACCTCCATACCTTTGCACTGGCTGTGCCCCATGCCTAGAATGCTCTCCCACCTCACTTCTTCCTTACAGCTTCCTTGGCTTCCTTCAAGAGTCAGAGCTAATCCTTGCCTTCTGAAAGAGGCCTTTCCCAGTATCCACCCTCCTTCCCTATCCACCTCACCCGTCCACCTTCCCTCAGAAACTACCTCCCATTTATACCATTTATTCTTTATGTACAAAGTTGTTAACTTGTTGTCTCCCCATTAGAATGTGAGCTCCTTGAGGGCAAAGACCTGTTATTGCCTTTCTTCATACCCCCAGTGCTTAGCATAGTACCTGGCACATAAGAAGTGCTTTTTGACTGATTGACCCAAAAAGTCACAAAATTTTAGAACTTGAAAGGACCTTGCAAATCATCTCATTCCAACTCTTATTTGCAGAGTACAGAATTTTATAAATTACGCCTAGAAAAGTTAAGTGACTTGCCTAAAGTCACATAGCTAGCAAAGAACAATGGACTGGTACAGTGGAAAGAAGGCTGGCTGTGGAGGTGCTCTCACTTATCTGTTTGAACTTGGGTAAATCACTTAGCCTACGGAGGCCTCAATTGCCTCAAATGTCAAATAAGGGAGCTATACCAGATAATCTCCAAGGTTCTGCCCAGCTAAGATAAGAACAATGGATTTAAACCAGGTTTTGAATTTCAGCTCTAATATTTACTACCTGTAAAACCTAGAGGAAGTACCTTAACTTTTATGGGCCTCAGTTTCCTCATCTGTAATAATAACTTATGTGGAATTAGACGAGATGATTTCTAAGTTACCTTCTAGCTCTAAAACCAATGATCCCATGAACTAGTATCAGAGAAATTCCAAGAAGAAAACACTACAACCAGAAGAAACGAAGATACAACTAGCCTTCCACATAAATGTGGAGCTGCAGGAAAGAGAATGGGAAAAAAAGAGCTCACTAGCAAGTTAAAGCCAAAGGAATTCCTCTTGTTACTGCCACCTCCATGCCTGTCCTAGCTACTGACTCTCCTACAGGCAGTTGTTTTTCTAAGACTACCTAAAGCATCATACACGCTTAAACTTAAATCCTATACAATACAACTCTGGAGCAAAGCAAAACATCTTCTCACGCCTAAAAAGGGGTTAGTGCAGTGTTTCTTTCTTGAGACATTTTTGTTATTTTAAAACTACCCAAGTTCCCTTCCACTGTTTTCCTAAGATCTATGCCATAAGACTAACTCCTAAGCGTACATTTCTCACCTGGCTGCCCTCCTCCATGCTCATTATTGGGATAACCTCATCATCCTGCAAGATCTCATCAGCCCTGGGCCTCCACCCCCTCACTACCCTCAGTTTCTCTAATTGGAGGGTAGGGCCATGACTTCCAAACCTCCATTTCAAAGAGAGGGCTCAGCTCAAGATATCTCATTTCTCACCTGACTGCACTGCTCCACAATTCTTCTGAGGACAATACCTACCAAGCCCCTTTCCAGCTTCTTTTTGCATGTTGTCTTCCCCCACTAGACTGTAAACTCCTTGAGGGCAGGGACTGGATGTGGATGTGATTAGCATTTTCCAGTGCTTGCTACACAGGAGGGGCTTAATAAAAATTTACTGACAAGTGGATCACGAACTATCATCCCTCTCATACTGGGTCCAAGACTGACCGGCTGTATAAGAAGTGGAAATGGAGGGGAAGTCCACTAATTGGGAAATAGCTGAATAAGTTATGGTATATGATTTTGACAGAATACTACTATGCTACAACAAATGATAAGCAGGACGGTTTCAGAAAAATCTAGGAAAACTTATATCAACTAATGCAAAGTGAAGTGAGCAGAACCAGAACACTGTATACAGTAATAGCAATATTATGATAATGATCAATTAGCTACTCTGTTCAAGACAATAATTCAAGACAGTTCCAAAGGACCCATGATAAATTATGCTATCCAACTTCAGAGAGAGATCTGATGAACTCTGAGTGCAGACCAAAGTATACTTTTTTCACTTTCTTTATCTTTCTTGCTTTTTTAAAGTTTATTTATCTTTGGGTTTTTTCTTTTTGTAACATGGCTGATACAGAAATAGGTTTTGCATGACTTTACATGTATAAATGATATCATATTGCCTGCCTTCTCAGTGAGTGGAAAAGGGGTGGGAAAGAGGGAGAGAATATGGAACTCAAAATTCTTAAAAATGAATACTAAAGGAGCAGCTAGATGGCGCAGTGGATAGAGCTCCAGCCTTGGAATCAGGAGGACCTGAGTTCAAATCCAGCCTCAGACATTTGACACTTACCAGCTGTATGACCCGGGCAAGTCACTTAACTCCTACTGCCTTACCAAAAAGAAAAAAAAAGAATGCTAAAAATGAATATTTAATTTTTTTTTAAAAGACTGACCTGCCATAGGGAAAACTGTGCTCTAAGTACGCTACAATGACATTCTAAAGAAGAGCCTCTATTACCAGAAGAAAACTCAAAATAAATAAACATGTAAGCCACATAACATATAGACCAAAACTATTCTCTTTCATTAAATGGTGATCACAATACTTTTCAATCTCAACCTAACATATTATTACTTTTAGAGATGTTCTGAAACTTCCAAATATGGAGATCTTTAAAAACATAAGTTACACATTATCAGTAAGTAAGGACTTTTATTTTCTTATAGCTTTTGTCTAGATTTCCTTTTTGCTCCTATCTCATTCTGGTTGTATCATATTTATTTGTACACATGCCATAGCCACCTCTACCCACTCAAATTAGATTGTAATCTGCTGGAGGGAAAGGACTTTGTTGTTCTCTACTCTATAGCTCTGCTCATCACCATATATTGCATAGATCAGGTGTTAAATAAATGTTTATTAAAGTTAAATGACATACTATCCAATTCTAAGTTGAATCAAAAAGTTAATATAGCACACCTTCACATTTTCCATCAAAAGATAATACTAGGAAGGGCAGCTAGGTAGCACAGTGGATAGACTGCCGGCCCTAGAGTCAGGAGGACCTGAGTTCAAATCCAGCCTCAGACACATAACACTAGCTGTGTGACTCTAGGCAAGTCACTTAACTCCAGTTGCCTCATCCAAAAAAAAAAAACCCAATACTAACAATATTGACTAGTGTGATATATGTAGAAGTTTTTCTTTTACCTTGTTCGACCACTTATACGCTTGAAGAAGCTGGCTATAGAGAGGAGTCTTGTCCTGAACAGGATCTAGGCTTAACAATCCACTATTATGGAGAGGGTGGTTCTCAGATGGCTTGCCTACCAAGTTACTCAGACGCTCCAGTTCACTAAAAAAATGAAAGGAAGAAAAATCAATTATAAGAGCCATTCCCCAACATGTGAACAGTCAAAGGATATAACCAAAGAGTTTCCTGAAAAAAAAATGAGTGATCCATCATCATAGGGAAAAAAGTGCTCCAAATCATTAGAAAAACTGACATTTCACCTCACATCCAAAAAAATGTAAAGAAAAACAACACTTAAAGGTGTCACAGAATAATAGATTTAAAGGTGGAAGAGGTTCTAGAAGTTAATTTTTCCAACTTCCTCATTTCACAGATGAGAAAATAAACTTAAGTTAAATAATTTGCCAAAAGTTATATAATAGTATAGTCAGGATTTGAACTCAGATCCCTCTGGCACCAAATCTAGTACTCCTCCACTGCACCACAACGCCATCAATGCAATAACTAATCTTCAACCCCAGGGTTAAAGGGGTGAAATATGCCTCCTTCCTCCTGATGGAAAGGTGGGGGGCTACAGGTGTAGCAAGAGGCATGTGCCTGGCTCACAATCAACACTTAATAAATGTCTGTTGACTGAACGAAAGACAATGTCACACATGGATGGATGGATGGATGGATGGATGGATGGATGGATGGATGTTTCGCCTAACTACCTTGCTACAAGAGACAGTTTGAAGGGGGAAGGTGAAGAATGTGGAATTGGAAAGTAAAACCAATGTTTTTCTTAAAAAGTATTAATAAAAAGAATTTTTAAAGTTTTAAAAACCAAAGAAAATCATTTCTTCCAGATTATGTTTAAATTCCAAAACGGATCCACTATAGTCGAGGATAAAAACTGATGTGTTGTCTCATGATTTCTCAGAACAGGAATAAGTAGATTTGGAGAGTTTATAAAGGTTCGAGACAATCAAAATAACATGTAAGTGGAGATTAGTTCACACGGAGGTTGTTGTTCGGCCTTTGTTCCCTGACATCAGGGAGGGGATGCCATGACTTGCAAGTGAATTGGATATAAGTGAGGGAGGGCTGGGCAAAGTCACCAGCCTCACTTTATCCTCAGGAGCCACCTGGGCCCAGTGGTGAGATACAGATCAGGATGACTGGAGACGGCCCTGGATGCAGTGGGAAATCTTGGTCTTTTTAAACTAAGGTCTTTAAAGGTCTCAGCGTGACTGAGGCAACGCCCATTCAGCGATTAAGGCTAGTAAGAACTGAGGTAGAGAACAGCCTCTTTGACCTAGTCAAAGAAAAAAAAATCAATCTAGGAGGGGAAGACCCTCAGGGTTTCTGGCCAAAACAGAAACAATTGTTATTTACATTGACTCTGAGCCAGTCAGGGCCCAAACAATGATCAAGTAGAGCTTGGTCTAGGACCTACTGTCGACCAATCAATGACAGCCAGAGAGATTTGGCTTTAAATCTCAGTCCTTAAGGGGAAAAGGGTTTCTGAGATTAAAATTTATATTCCTTTGGGCAGAGCACCTGAAGGTAAGGGTATCATACCCTATGTGGACAGAGTTTACAGCAAGGTTTTTTGATTCAGTTGTGTCATTCCTAAAAAGAGAAAATTTAAAAGCCCTTCAACCAGTAATGTGGCCACACAAATGAAGAATTTAATGACTTTTCTAAATTTCCATTTGAAGGAAAAATGAACTTCTTAGATTCAGTAATCATCAAACCTCTCTTCTAACCACCAAGCTTGCATCTCTACCTGCCTACTGGACATCTTGAACTGGATGTCCTAAGGGCACTTCAACTCAATATGTCCAAAACTGAACTCATCTATCCCCCCAAACCCTCCCCTCTCCCCACCTTCCTTATTACCACTGAGGGCACCACCATTCCCCCAGTCACCCAGACTGATAACCCAAGGTGTAATCCTCTACCCTTCTCTCCCTCCAACAAATCCATTGCCAATTCTTATTGATTCTACCTGTATAACATCTCTTATATATAACCCCCATCTTTCCTATGACAATGCCACAATCCTGTTGTGGGTCCCTCACCATTTCACACCTGGCCTTTTGCAAAAGCTTGTGGATTGGTCTCCCTACCTCAAGACTCTCCCTATTCCAGTCCATCCTCCACACTTAGCTGTCAAAATGATCTTCTAAAAGTTCAGATCTGACTATGTGTCACCACTCCCAATTCAATGAACTCCAGTGACTCCCTATCACCTCCAGAATCAAATACAAAATCCTCTGCTTGGCTTTTAAAGCCCTTCATAATCTGCCCCTCACTCAGAGTGTTAAGCCTGGAGTCAGGAAGATCTGAGTTCAAATCCAGCCATATAGACAAATGTTGGCTGTGTGACCTTGTCTGCCTCAGTTTCCTCTACTGTAAAATGGAGATAATAGCTCCTACCTCACCGGTTTGATGTGAGGATCAAATGAAATAATATTTGTAAAGCACTTAGTACAGTGCCTGTTATATAGCATACATGATATTAATGCTTATTTCCTTCCCCCACACACCAGCACTTTACACATACTCTATGATCCTGTAACACTGGCCCCTTTGCTGTTCCTCAAACAAGGTACTCTGTTTCTCAGTTCCGGCCATTTTCACTGGCAGTCCCCCACATCTGAAATTCTCTCACTCCCCATCTGCACCTCCTGGCTTCCCTGACTTCCTTCAAGTATCAGCTAAAATCCCACCTTCTACAAGACTTTCCCAATACTCCTTAATGCTAGTGCCTTCCTGGAAATCATCTCTAACTTATCCTATATACATACTCTTTGTACAGAGTTGTTTGCATGTTTCAAGCCTTTCTTTGTATTTCCAGAACATGGCAAAGTGCCTGACACATAGTGAGTGCTTCATAAGGGCTTGTTCACTTCAATTGGCTTGAATTTATAAATGTGGCACAACAATCTCTGCACTAATAGTTTAGAGACCAATATAAATATTCAATTTGACAGAGCAGCAAACACCTGAATAAATGATGACTATTTATTACTTGTATAATGCCAGACATACATAGGATGTTTTTCACAGATGGTAAATCTTAACAAAACATAGAACAAATAAGATAAACAAGTAGAATGAAGAAAACACCAACAAGGTGGTGTAGATGTAAAATGAAGGCACTTTAATGTCCCCTAGAACTAACCACACCACACAAAGTAATCCAATAGCATAAGCAGCTTCCAAAAGTAAGTATTCTGAAGGGATAGTCCCAAACAGCTAAGAAAAGCCTCTCTAGGTATAGGCACCAATGCCTTTTTCACTAGAAAGTCCCAAATATTATCCTTGGCACCACTGCATAAGGATTTATGGATAACAGTTGCAGAAAGGGTCAAAACAAACATCTCAAACTTCACACCATGGTGCATGTCACAGCATCCTGAACTTAACAAACAAAATCAACCTTAGGGAAAGTAAATGGAAGATGAAGAAAGAAAGAAAAGCATTCCCTCACACTAGTAAAGTATTAACTGGCACTGTGCCAAAAAACAAAAACAAATAACAAAAAAACAGTGAATTTCTGTGGGAGGGGAGTGTGTTTGTCTGGCTTTCCCCCAAAAAAAGGAACACCAGCCACTTAGTGAAAAACTGATGTACCCATCCTTTGGCCTCCTCCTCTATCCCACCTCCTCCTTCCATCTGGTTGCTAAGGAAACAAAGCTGCAACAACCAAAAAAAAAGCTAGCCTTCAAACCATAAGACCATAAGATGAGCTGCTCTGCCTACCTCACAGAATTGCTGTGAAGATGAAATATGCAACTGAAATCAGTAAAGCACTAAATGGATGTAAGGTATTATCAGAACTGTTAGAAGTAAACTCCCAAACCTAGCCTTCCTAGAGAGACAGACAGACAGACAGACAGTCAGGCCTTCATAGATGAAAGAGCACTATATTCCTGGAGAAGGAAGTGGAAACCATCCCTGAAAGGGGAACAGGAGGTAAGAGACAGAGACAGTATGGTGTAGTAGAAAGGGCAATAAACCAATAAACAAGCATTTATGAAGGTCCTATTTTGTGTCAGGCACTGGAGCTGGAGTCAGAGAATCTGGGTTTTGAATCCTGCCTCTGCCATTATCTGTGCGACCTTTTGGGAAGTCACTTAATATTTCTGGCCCTCACTTTGCTCATATCCAAGGTCCCTATATCCTATAATTGGCACTGACTAATTCCTATGGGAAACACATCAGAACCTGTGAAAAGGGCTGCGACAGGCCAGTTGGAGAAAAAAACAAACAAAATCAACTTAACCAAGCTAGGCCAATTTGGGGAGATAGGATTTGAAAGGGGAATGAATGGAGAAGATGGAAAACAGGCATGAGGGAGCCCAGTTTTTGGAGCAGTGGGAAAGGAGATCCACATGGGGGCAGGGGAGAATGTCCGTGGGGAAAGCGGAAGGAGAGGCAGTGGGAAGGGGGCAGACGGGCAGGAGCAGCTGGGGGGCTCTGCCCGTCCAGGACGGGCGGGGCCCGGTTTGGGGAAGTGGGGAGAGGGCTGAGGTCCTGCAAAGACCTCATTGGCCAGGGAAGGCAAGGTGCCCGAGGCTCGGCCGGCGCTGGTGATGAGCCTCGGGGGCCCGGCGTGTGCGGCGCAGGGTCAGGCCAGGCCCGACGGGAGGGCACGTACTTGAGGTCCCGATTGACGGAGTGCAGGTGGTCTTGGAAGTGGGCGATGAAGGCCTTCTCCCGGCCCTCCAGCGTCTCCTTGTTCCGCATGCCATCCTTCAGGCAGTCGAATACCCGGCTCACGCTGGAGCGCAGCGCCTGGATGGCGCCAATGGCCTGAGCGAAGGCCTCCAGATTCACCCCGACGTTCAACACATCCGCCATAGCGAACACTACCAGTCTCGGCCTCCGCAAGCCCAGCCGGCTGCCGGGGCGATACACAGCCCGCCGCGCACTCTGATGGCGTCACTCACTGGGCTCGTCCCCCTACGCTCCCGCGGGCCGCTGGGAAATGTAGTTCTCGGGCCACGGTCAGAACGGGCTGTCGGACTCCCGCAAGCAAATGCAGGTGGAATACTCTTTCATAAGACTGGAACTCTAGAGGACCTTTCAGATCATCTAATTCAGCCTTCTCGGTCTACAGATGGAAAAATTGAGGCCCAGGAAATGGGAAGTTATGCATCCAAGATCACACAGATGGGATTTGAAACCTGGTCTTTGACTCCAAATTCAGTTCTCTTCCACTTTGTTGTTGTTCAGTTATGTGACCCCATGGACAATCCATAGGGTTTTTTTGGCAAAGGTATTGGAGCGGTTTACCATTTCCTTCTCCAGTATGTTCCCATTTGGGGAACCTGAGGCAAATAAGAGTTAAGTGACTTGCCCAGAGTCACTCAGCTAGTACGTGTCTAAGGCCCTATTTGAACTCAGATTTTCCTGACTGCAGGCCGGGTACTCGATCCACTGCACCACCTAGCTGCCCCTGTTGTCCACTAGGCCTAGATAACAGAAAATGGTCCAGAAAAAAAGATTAGAGCTGGCAATCAGCAAAATGCATTTGCTCTAAGAAATTAGACTGTAATCTGTGTTTATACTCTGGTATGAGGCGTTGTCTCCATGAATCACTTGAAGTAAGTGATAAAATGCCCAATCAATTTCAAACAGAGGCCTTAGACTAAGTGTGAAAAGTCTTTGACAGCCATTTGATGAAGTGAAATGAGCAGAGAGGAAGCCAGTTCCAGTTGACTAGGGGATTTGGGCATTCTCTCTGAGTCCTATATAGAAGCATGGAGTTAGCTGGGTGTAAATGTGGTGTTCCCTCTAGGGGGAAAAAAAAAAGACATCTGTATTACAATGTGAGGGAACAGCACTATGTAATACAGATGTCTTTTTTTTTCTTTTTCTTTTTTTTTTCCTCCTCATTGGTTTGATCAGGCATATTGGCTCTGGAGTCAGCTAGGCTAGAATCTTTTTCTTTTCTTTTTTTTTTAATATAAATTCATTTATTTTTAGTTTTCAAAATCTTGACCTTGCCACTAAGAAGCTCAGTGATCTTGGACTAGTCATTTCCCTGCTACTCTTTCTTAGACTGCAAATTTATGGGAGAAGGATTAATGTCCAGTAAGTCTGGGAAGACCAGTTAGGACAAGGATGCAAAGGACTTTAAAAACTAAACAGAAGAGTTCACATTTGATTCTAGAGGAAATAGGAAACCATTGGAATTGAATGAGCCTGGGAGTGACACGGTCCTATCTGTGCTTACAATCACTCTGGCTGCAGAAGAGAATATGGACTGAAGTGGGGAGAGGCTTGAGCCAAACTCCTAGAAAAAGCTGTCAGCACTACTGCCTCCACTTTCTTTCACTCATTCCTTAACCTTTCACAGGTTGACTTCCAGCCTCATCATTCAACTGAAACTGCTGTCTCCAAAGTTACCAATGAAATCATAGATAGATAGATAGATAAGTGTATAGGTAGGGCATTTATTAAGAACTTACTATATGCCAAAAACCACACTGAGTGTTGGGAATACAAAGACAAGCAAAGAGCTTGCACGCTAATGGGAGAAGACGATACATATAGAGGGTAGATGGTGGAGAAATCTGGAGAGTTGGGGGAAGAGATAGAAGAGGAGGGAAGGCTGCAGGATTAGAGGCATCTTCCAAATCTTTAATGTAATGGGTTTTTTCAGTCTTCTTTTTTCACAACCTATCTGCTGTATTTGACGCTGTTGACTGCCTTCTTTCCCTGAATATTCTCTTCTTGGGGCTTTCATGACAATAATCTTCCCTGGTTTTTCTCTTACCTGTTTAATCTCTCCTCAGTCTCCTTTGCTGGTTTATTATCCATATCATGCCCTCTAAGTGTAAGTATTGTCCTAGACCCCCAACTCTTCTCTTTCTAAATTCTTTCCCTTAGTGGCCTCATCAACTCACATAGGTTAAATTATAAGGTTATATCCCCAGCCCCACTCTGTCCCCTGTGCTTCAGTCTGGTATCACACATTTCGAACTGAATGTCTTAGGGACATGTCAAACTCAATATGTCTAAAACAGATTTCATTATATTTCCCTGCCTCCCCCAACACACAACTCTTTCAAACTTCTCTATTTCTATTGAAGGAGGCGCTACCACTCTTCCAGTATCTCAAGCTTGTAACTTTAATATTATTTAGGGCTCCTCAATCTCCATCACCTGATATCAGTTGCCAAATCTTGCATTTCTTCTACAACATCTCTCTCGTCCAACCTCTTCTCTCTACTCCAACACTTTAGTTCAAGCCCTCATCACCTCTCATTGCAACAGCCTTTTAATTGGTCTGCCTGCCTCATGTCTCCCCCACTTCAATCCATCTTCTATTCTGCAGCCAGTGATTGTTGCTAAGGACAATAGGACCATGTCACTCCCAGGCTCATTCAATTCCAATGGTTTCCTGTTTCCTCTAGAATCAAATGTGAACTCTTCTGTTTAGTTTTTAAAGTCCTTCACATCCTCATCCTAACTGGTCTTTCCAGACTTATTGGACATTAATCCTCCTCCCACAAATTTGCAGTCTAAGAGCCAAATTGACCCTTTCTGTGTTCCTCACACAGGACACCTATGTCTCCAATCTGTGCCTTTGCAGGGTAGTTCTTCAAGCCTGGAATACACTCCCGCCTCACGTTTGCCTCAAGTGAGGAATCCCTTTCTTCCTTCAAAATGCGGCTCGAGCACCACCTTTTACCTCAGGGATTCTTAACTTTTTGTATGACCTGGACCTCTTTGGCAGTCAGTCTGATGCAGCCTGTGGAGCACTTCTTAGAATAATGTTTTAAAATGCATGGGATTGTAAAGAAACCAATTATTTTGAAATACAGCTTTCAAGATATTTTAAACATCAAGTTCATGAGTCCCAGGGGAAGAACCCCTGTTATATGAAAACTTTAACTGATCTTTTCAACTATTAGTGCCCTCCCTCTCAAACCACCTTATGTTTATCTACTTTATACTTATTTCTCCTTATGTTCTCTCTATGGATATATAATATATGATTGTAATCATATGTATAATATATTGACATGACATATATTCTACATACATACATGCACGTGTACATATATATACATACACACATTATTATGCATATCTTTATATACATTTGTCTCTCTTGTTAGAATAGAAGCCCCTTGCAAATCGCAACTGTTTATTTTATTTGTATCCAAGTGCCTGGCACATAATAAATGCTTAAATGGAAGGAAGAAAGCATTTATTAAGTGCCTACTACATGCCAGGCACTTTGCAAAGTGCTTTACAAATATTGTCTCACTTGATCTTCCCAACAATCTTGGAAGGTAGTTACAATTATCCCCATTTTACAGTTGAGGAAACTAAGACAGACAGCAATTAAATTATCTTACACAGCTAGTAGGTGTCTTAGGCTGGATCTGAACTCAGGTCTTCCTGATTCCAGGCCAGGCACTCTATCCACTGCACCATCTAGCTCTTGTTGATTTAGTAATTGTGATAGATGGCTTGGAAAGTGGAGAGACTGGAGTCAGGGAAACCAATTAAGAGATTATTGCAATGTTCTAAGCACTCTTTCCATTCTGTCAATCTCTGTTTTGAAGTCCCTTCCAACTCAAAATCCCATGACCCCACAATCTTAAGAAAACAGCCAAGTGTGCCACTTTACCCTAAAGTGGATTTTTTTTTTTAATTCTTTAAAGCAGTGAGATAATTTAGCACTGAAAATGTAATTACTGTGTGTTGTCCCTCCATTCAACCCTCTCCAGTTCTGGTTGTAGTCAAAATAACTTCAAGAGACAAAAAACAAAAAGCACTGGGCCCTAGAGCTGGTTTCAGTGAAAAGAAGGGTTTGGGAAATACAGCTATGTGAGTTAAAAGCTCCGTAAGAGCGTTTTGTTTTCTTACCAAGTGTTTCTTATCATAGTTGCTTTTCTCTCCCTAACTCACCTGCTTGCATGTGCTACCATTTTTTGTTTTAGTTGTTTTTGTTTTGTTTTTTAGCAACTCCTCTTTATTAATAGTTTTTTTTAAGGCTTTGGGGAAAAATAAGCAAATGTGTGTGTAGCAACAGGAAGGAGGCTTTCTCTTATCAGGAGGGTTTGGGAGCTCTGCAAGCACAGCTGCTAGGATGTGTGCAGGACAAATATTCTAAAGAAGTTTTCCAGACAGGGTTGTAAATCATAACTCACCACCATTTTCAGGATACTTGCCCAGAATCAAGCAAGATTCTAACCAATAGGTCTATTAAGGCTAAGTTCTTCTTAATGATAGGACCCAGGTTCTTAATGACAGGCCAACAAACCAAAATTTCATGAATTATTTTAGTTTTGGTGACCTCTTTGTAGCTGTTGGTATGCCCCTCACCTTTTCTTTCCTAGTCTCCCTCTCCCCTCTTTTTTTATAAGGAAAGAATCTTTATCTGAAAAGGATGGAGGGCAGGGGACCTTCATTCATCAGTCTTCCCAGAGAAGAATTGAGAATGCTTTCTCCATTTTCCCTCTTAAGTCTGCTCCCATCCTTAAATACTACTTCTCACCTAACTAGAGGATCAGATAATTTCAGAGCTAAAAGGGGCTTTAATATGTCTTCTGGTCCATCCCCTTCCCTTTATAGAAGAGGAAATCTTAGGGTTTTGAGCTAACTGATTATTTGTTGATCATCAGACCTTAGATTTACAGTTGGAAGGAACCTTCAAGATCACCTAGTTAAGGTTGTCTAGTCCAACTCTCTCATCTTACAACTGAAGAAAAGGAGGCCCAGAAAAGTTTCCCATGTAAGTGGCAAGTCAGGACTGGAACCTGGATTTAAGCCAGGATTTGAAGCACTCTGAATCCACATCCAGTACTTTTTCCATTGCACCATACTGCCTCCCTAGTCCAACTTATGTAGTATATTATTACATTAATCTAAAATGTATTAATACTTAATACTTAATATT